GGAGGGCTGGTTTCGTGTTTGCAAATTCCTTTAGTTTTTGTTTGTCCTGGCAGCTTTTGATCTCTCCTTCTATTTTCAATGACAGCCTAGCTGGATATAGTATTCTTGGCTGCATATTTTTCTCGTTCAGTGCTCTGAAGATATCATGCCAGTCCTTTCTGGCCTGCCAGGTCTCTGTCGATAGGTCTGTTGCCAGTCTAATGTTTCTACCATTGTAGGTTACAGATCTCTTCTCCCGAGCTTCTTTCAGGATTTTCTCTTTGTCTCTGAGACTTGTAAATTTTTCTATTAGATGTCGGGGTGTTGACCTATTTTTATTGATTTTTCTCAACTTCTTTATTTTCCATCATTTGGTCTTCTATATCACTAATTCTCTCTTCTGCCTCACTTATCCTAGCAGTGAGAGCCTCCATTTTTTATTGCACCTCATTAATAAGCTTTTTGATTTTGACTTGTTTAGATTTTAGTTCTTTTATTTCTCCAGAAAGGGTTTCTCTAATAACTTCCATGCTTTTTTCAAGCCTAGCTAGTATCTTTATTTATTTTTTTTAAAGATTTTATTTATTTATTTGACAGAGAGACACAGTGAGAGCAGGAACACAAGCAGGGGGAGTGGGAGACAGAGAAGCAGGCTTCTTGCTGAGCAAGGAGCCCGATGTGGGACTCAATCCCAGGACCCTGGGATCATGACCTGAGCCGAAGGCAGACACTTAACGACTGAGCCACCCAGGCGCCCCAGCTAGTATCTTTAAAATCATGATTCTGAACTCTAGTTCTGACATCTTACTAATGTCCGTATTGAGTAGGTCCCTGGCAGTCGGTACTGCCTCTTGTTCTTTTTGTTGAGGTGATTTTTTCCAACTTGTCATTTTGTCCAGAGGAGAATAGATGAATGAGAGAACAAAATGCTAACAGGGTAACAACGTCCCCAGAAAATACACAATAAACAAATCAGAAAAGACCTTAAACCTGGGGAAAAGAGGGGGAAAGAAAGAAAAAAAGAGGAAAAGGTAAAAACAAACAAAACAAAACAAAAACAGAATATGATCAAATATGATCAGGCTTGTGCATAGATCAGCGCCACACACTAGATTTTGGGTGTATTTTGGTCTGTTAGAAGGAAATGCCCTTCAAAATTTTAAAGAAAGAAAAACTTACATATGTTCAAAAATAAGAGTTAATATGATGAAGGGATGGAATATGACTTCCAGAAAGTGTTCACTTTTTTGTTCAGAGAGTTGTTGCTATTCTTTTCTTTGATCTCCTGTTGAGTTCATAGGTGTTCAGAATGGTTTGATCCCTATCCAGGTGAATTCCTGGGACCAAACAAAATCCAGTTCTCCTACTCCTCCACCATCTTGCTCCTCTGATCCCTACTGTGTCTTTATCTTCAGCTTCCTATGACTATACCATCCCCCTACAGCCACAGGGCCCTTGCCGAGCTGAGTCCCTCTGTCACCATTGCCTGGACTCCTTACCTCCATCTCACTCACTCCTGTCCTTTGTTTGGTTATTTCTTTTTTTAAGATTTTATTTGACAGAGAGAGACACAGTGAGAGAGGGAACACAAGCAGGGGGAGTGGGAGAGGGAGAAGCAGGCTTCCCGCTGAACAGGGAGCCAAATGGAGGACTCCATCCCAGGACCCTGGGATCATGACCCGAGCCAAAGGCAGATACTTAACAACTGAGCCACCCAGGCACCCCAGTTCTTTCCTTAAGGTCATGTCAGCTCAGATATAACTTCTTCTGGGAAGCTTTCCTTGAAGTTCTCAATCAGATCAGATTTTTAGCTCTCTACCTCTCCCTACTGTACAACTTAGAACACCGTGGACTTTCTTTCATAACATCCCCTGTAAAAACTTTGTATTTATCTGGGATTATTTCATCTGTCTCACTTAGTAGTCCATATGCTCATGAAAGCCCAGACCACATCTGTTTTGCTTGGTTTATTATAATTTACTTACCATCATTTTCCCATGTCATGCCTGACACAAGATAGACAATAAATATCTGCCAGTTGCTTGGTTGGTTGAGTAAATGAATGAATAACCAGAAAGCCAGTTAAAGCAGGGCAAGTGTGCCTAACCATGATGATCTAGGACTTCGGCTCTCTTGCCTTTGCCCTGTTTCCTATTCTCTGAAAGGAGTTTTGGCATTCCTGTCTCAGATGGCAATTACAGCCCAAGGAAGGCAGAGGCTGATGACTGATGAGCCCCAAAGCGATGCACTGACAGCTGTGTTAGGCTTATGAAGCACCTGAGAGCCTCTGAAGGCAAAAGCATGGCATCTGGTATGTTCCACTTGAGTGGGCACAGCTCCAACAGCAGAGATGAAATCTGCTGCCTTGGCCTCTTGGTGCCTCTGTCTCCTGGTACAGAGGACCAAGCCCAGGGGCCTGCACTCACACCAGTGAGAGCGAGAGCTAGAGCTAGAGAGATCTTCCTAATACCTGACCGAGTACCCTAAAAGCATGACTCCTCTGTGAAGGCAGCCCTACTGATACAGCCATCCCAACACCATGGCTCCCTTCTTTCACCTGTTACATATGTGGGGAACATTGCCAGGAGTGGATAATGAGGAATACTTTCAGGCCAAAAGCCTAGCATGAAAGACAGTAGACATCCAGACAGAACTTGAGAGGAGTTTTAAGTCGCTGAAAGAGGTCCAAGTCCAAGCCCACAGAAGCACAGTGGTGAATACCAGACAGAAAGGGCAAGGCTGGGAGACTCAAGCAAGGGCAGCCCAAGTTGGACTTTTCTCAGGTATGTGGGTAGATGCTGTAACTTGTGGGGGCTGAGGTGGAAGCAGCTGAGATGTGAGTCTCCCCTCTGTGCTCTTGCCAGTGGTGACCCTTACCTGATGCCCACTCTGTCTCCACAAAGAACCCAAAACCCCTCTTTCTTTCTCAGTCTCTCTCTCAATGCCCCACCCCCTCTCTTCCTCGCTCCTCACTTTCTCTCTTTCTCCCTCTTTTCCCTCCCTACCCTCTTTCCCTCTCTCCCTCTTTCTCCTTCCGTCTTCACTCTCTCCCTCCCTCTCTTTCTCAGAAATTATATTGCTTGTTTTATTTCATGGCTGACCCAGTTAACCCTAACTATTCCTGATAATTCCCTCAGACACTTGTCCCAAATGATGCGAGTAGATTTTAAGGCAGTTTCTTCCTCTGTGCCCATACCTAAGATTGGCTGGCAGCACCTCTGTTGAAAATCCAGAAAACATGGGAGAACTGACTAGAAAGAGCACCGAGAAATTGACCAGTCTGATTTGTGCAAATGAAGTACAAGTCAGCAAGAATCGTTGACATTTATATTTATTAGCGAAGGGAATTCAAGTAATTGCACAGTGTCTGGGCTTGTGGATAATTTGTCTTGTGGTTCCGAGTGCAGTTTCTTTCTCCCTCCCGGGGGGAGAATTCTTGCTCATGTCCTCCCTGAGAGTTAGCTGCCCTGCTGTGTGCCCCCCACACGATGCTTGGCCGGGCATAGATCAGGAGAGTAGGTCACAGAGGTTAGGATTTGAACTGCTTTTCCTCTCCCTGTGAATTAATCTTTTAAATGTCAGCATTTTAAACTTGGCCTTTTCAAAAAATATGATACCATATGAACCTTACTTAATTGAAAATACTTTT